TTTCTTTACAGCCTGGCTTGGAGAATAGCTGCTCTGCTGGTCCCAGCTTGATTGCCGTGAGAGTCGCTCTATATGTAGCTGTGGTTCCGATGTGAAGGAAGGGGAGCCCAGCGCACTCCTACCACCCCATTTTGATCTCCTCCCCTCCTGAATTATTTCAGGCCTCTCTTTATCCTCTGGTAGTACCAAGGAGTAGAGATATTTTAAGCCAAACATTTAATGTTCGTCTCATGCAAGATTCAAATGTTTTTTTTGCGGGCGTGGTAAAGGAAACCACTCCTTTAGTCAACATGACTATGGACACATACGTAATTGTATACCTTATTATTCATACAGTTGGAACACAGGATAAGTAAAATCATACTATTTCAAAAAATTGACACCTATGTATCCACAATCATAAAAGCTACTGACAGACTTAGAGCTGAAAATCTGAAGAACATTTGTTGAGTTTCAGAGGCTTGGCTTGGAAAAGGGTGAGAAGGCAGATTGTTGGGGGGATATGAGGTGTTAGAAGAATGAGATTCGAACACAGATGAGTACAAGTCCCAGTGCAGAAAGCAGTGGGAGGAGACGGAATTGAGAGCTAGCTGTAGAAATCCTCAAGGGAAGAGGCTGAGGAAGAGGGAGAAGTAAGAATCCTGAGTGGACTCTCTCAGAGCTTAGAGAGATGAAGTTAGGACAAGAAATGCAAGAAGGAGCTGTAGTCTTCTTTTTGACTAAATGGTGCCCAGTGGGGTTAGGCTTTATACATACATGTGGAATCAGCTCATGGTAGGATTCTTTTTTGTGAAATGATCAGGGATAGTATGCAAGATAGACCTTATAACGAATCTCTTCATGGATAAAACTGAGGGGATATATTAGATGGCCTCTAAGTAGCTTATAATAAAATCTCCTGTACATAAATCTGATCTATAGGAAATAATATTAAAGGAAGATTTTAATATCATTCTTTCCAAGGCACCATCATAAGGTTACTTGGCCAGATTGGAATTTTCAGCTTATAAACTATCCTGGCGGGGAAAGAATCTGTGGTCTTGGGCCTTGACAAAGGATGTGCCTGGCACATAGCCCTCATGTGAATGTAAGGACAGGGACCATGGGCCACAGGTAAGCTGACTGCCTCTCCAGCTGCACCTACATATAAGAGGCTCTCCATTTTGACCTGGAGGCACTTGGCCCCTTTCATGCCTGATATATCTTGTGGGTTGTTGGGTTTTTCTTCCTGATGGATTGTGTCCTGGTGTCAGCATCTTTATGTCTTATCAAGAAGGGGGAAAAACAAAAAGCAAAGTTAAATACTTAAGTGGCAGAGAAGGGGGCCCATGTTGGGACCCCATGACAGCCCCTGTCTCCGAGCATTCAGAGTGGAAGTAATCTGTTTAGAGCCTCTCTAGGTGCTCAGACATGGTGAGCCAAGCTTTCAGTGATCTACCAAAGACTGCTTCCCCTGTTGGCTTCCATCAGTGATGGAAATCTGTGTCCCACCTCATTCTGCCTGCAACGTAGAAAATGACTCTTACCCAGTGGGTTTCTGGCCCCAGTAACTGGCTCAGTGCTTATCCACCCCTCTGCTTCATGACACAGAAAAGCTAGTACAGGTCTGGGGATGAGATGGTAAAAACTGAAGCAGGTTGGTCCTCTGGAACCTCTAGAGAGCTTTCTGAGCCACAGCAGCATCTTTTTGAAGGCCAGTGGCACCTTCCTGTGGGCCTGATGGCAGCTGTCTCCCTGGTGCACAGGGCTTGCTCTCTGCATGTATATGCCCCTGCAGAATGTCACATACTTCCAAGGTTACATTTGATTCCTGGTGTCACTCATGATTATTGCCCTTCTAAAGCTTCTCCTCATTTTTACCTACTGACAGGACACATGAGGAGGCAGAAAGTGGGTAGACGTGACCATCATTACCAACACCCTTCTCGTCCAAGCAGCTAACTTGGGAGAACACCATATTGCACAAAGAAGCTAGTAGATGCAATTGTCTCAGCTGGGAGGAGTCCAGCGTCCTGTGGCAGGCCTTGCTCTCAGATTAGCCGTGTCAGTCTCTCTGGGGCACATGCTGGAAGGACAGAATTCCAAGCTTTTCTTCAGACCTACTGAGGGAGAGTCTACATCTTAACAAGAGCCTAATTTTAACAAGATTTGCAGGTGCATGCAAGTTTGAGAGGCACTGTCCTGTGACAGTGGTTCTTGACCCTGACTATAAATTAAAATAACTGAGAAGTTTTGAAAAATACCCATGCTAAGTCCCAATCTCCATGGATAGATTTAATTGGCCTGGGGTCAGCTTAGGAATTAGTAGTCTTAAAATTCCACTAGTGATTTTGTAAATCTATAGTCACATTTGAGCCCTACTACTAGAGAGATCCTGATGGATTGTGTCCTGGCGTCAGCATCTTTATGTCTTATCAAGAAGGGGGAAAAACAAAAAGCAAAGTTAAATACTTAAGTGGCAGAGAAGGGGGCCCATGTTGGGACCCCATGACAGCCCCTGTCTCCGAGCATTCAGAGTGGAAGTAATCTGTTTAGAGCCTCTCTAGGTGCTCAGACATGGTGAGCCAAGCTTTCAGTGATCTACCAAAGACTGCTTCCCCTGTTGGCTTCCATCAGTGATGGAAATCCGTGTCCCACCTCATTCTGCCTGCAACGTAGAAAATGACTCTTACCCAGTGGGTTTCTGGCCCCAGTAACTGGCTCAGTGCTTATCCACCCCTCTGCTTCATGACACAGAAAAGCTAGTACAGGTCTGGGGATGAGATGGTAAAAACTGAAGCAGGTTGGTCCTCTGGAACCTCTAGAGAGCTTTCTGAGCCACAGCAGCATCTTTTTGAAGGCCAGCGGCACCTTCCTGTGGGCCTGATGGCAGCTGTCTCCCTGGTGCACAGGGCTTGCTCTCTGCATGTATATGCCCCTGCAGAATGTCACATACTTCCAAGGTTACATTTGATTCCTGGTGTCACTCATGATTATTGCCCTTCTAAAGCTTCTCCTCATTTTTACCTACTGACAGGACACATGAGGAGGCAGAAAGTGGGTAGACGTGACCATCATTACCAACACCCTTCTCGTCCAAGCAGCTAACTTGGGAGAACACCATATTGCACAAAGAAGCTAGTAGATGCAATTGTCTCAGCTGGGAGGAGTCCAGCGTCCTGTGGCAGGCCTTGCTCTCAGATTAGCCGTGTCAGTCTCTCTGGGGCACATGCTGGAAGGACAGAATTCCAAGCTTTTCTTCAGACCTACTGAGGGAGAGTCTACATCTTAACAAGAGCCTAATTTTAACAAGATTTGCAGGTGCATGCAAGTTTGAGAGGCACTGTCCTGTGACAGTGGTTCTTGACCCTGACTATAAATTAAAATAACTGAGAAGTTTTGAAAAATACCCATGCTAAGTCCCAATCTCCATGGATAGATTTAATTGGCCTGGGGTCAGCTTAGGAATTAGTAGTCTTAAAATTCCACTAGTGATTTTGTAAATCTATAGTCACATTTGAGCCCTACTACTAGAGAGAGACCTGCATATGACCTGGGTCTTAACTGATACTTCTTGATCACCTGGTAGTTGGCTGGTGACTCCCAACCATGTAGCTCAGGATTTCAGTAGCAGAGATTCCAATTCATTTTAGCCTCCATTCATTTCACTCTGTAAGTTCTTTTAGGAACTACACTACCTCTGTCAATTTGCATTCTGTTAGGCGGTTGCTACTTTTAATCACCTTCAGCTGGGGGAAACTGATAATGTGTGCATGACGTTGAAGGAGATGATTGGAATATCCACACAGAAAAGAAGGTTACTGATTTTTCCTTGGTGAGAATGAAATTATTATAGCAATAATGAAATTATTACGGCAGTAGTGACTATCCCTGTGTGCCAGACCCTGTTCTTGGCAGTTGACACTTCCCAAGTCATTTCTGATCTTCCAGAATCCCATGAGGAGGGTACTAAAATTGTTTCCATGATGCATAAGAAAAAACCAGAATGCGAGGACATGGAGTGCCTTGCCCAGGGTCACAGGTCTGTAAGTGGTAAGCCCAAGGGAGGAACCCATGCAATCAGGCACAGAAGTTTTCTCCTAACCACTGCCTCCCACCACATCATCAAGGCACTCTTTTGAATTTCTGTTCTCATCCAAGGAAGCTCAGGCTGTGGGAAAGACCAGAAAGGAGAGTTAGCCCTCAGTTTGGACAGAGTAGGTGGCTACTTATATGTTTCCATAGATCCAGAACAGAGGGTTCGGAGAGGGACTCAGAGCTATGAGGATGTGTTGTTCAAGCCTGGACAGGGTAAACCTCTGTTCACACGGGCACAGCAGGCATTAACCAGGACTGTCCTGGGCAAACTGAGATGTGCAGTTGCCCTTGATACAGGTCCTCTTGTCACTGAGGACCTGAATGCATTAACACAGAGAGGTGAGCAAGAGTCAAGGCAGGGCCTGGCTCACAGAGACCCTTGTGAGCCTTCGGAAGACTCGGATTTTCATCTGTCAGTTGAGGAAGCCTTACAGAGCTTTCAGGCTTCCCTGATAGCTCCGTTGGTAAAGAACCCGCCTGCAATGCTGGAGACCCCAGTTCCATTCCAGGGTCAGGAAGATCTGCTGCAGAAGGGATAGGCTACCCACCCCAGTATTCTTGGGCTTTCCTGGTAGCTCAGCTCGTGAAGAATCTGCCTGCAATGCGGAAGACCTGGGTTCGGTCCCTGGGTTGGGAAGATCCCCTGGAGAAGAGAAAGGCTACCCATTCCAGTATTCTGGCCTGGAGAATTCCATGGACTGTGTAGTCCATGGGGTTGCAAAGAGGCATGACGAGTGACTTTCACTTTCACTTTCTTTACAGGGCTTTCAGCAGAATAGGAAGTGAGAAATGTTTACACATATTTAGCTCTGTTTAGTTGTAGGTGATTTAAGTGTTCACTGGGGACACGGCTAGCTTCCCAGGTGGCTCAGGGGTAAAGAATCTGCCTACTAATGCAGGAGACTCAGGAGATGCAGTTTTGATCCTGGAAAATCCCATGGACAGAGGAGCCTGGTGGGCCAGGCCATAGGGTCACAAACAGTCGGACATGACAGAGTGAATGAACATGCAAGCCAGTGTTCACTGCCACTGGAATTTTATGTGATCTAATTTCTCTTTTAATTTCTTATTTAACCATTTATAATTAAGATCAGTTCAGAATATAACACATCCTATTCCAATGCTACATAGAATTCATATATAATACTCATTCTATTCTTAAGGAGTTAAAAATCTAGAGAGAAGAGAGACACACAGCCACTGACAGTAGTGTCTGTCGCTAACATGAACATTCACATATGCATGATGCAAATGAGCGACCACATGTTGACGCTAGCTCGTTTGCTCACTAGGGCTTTTGTGGAAACCTGGATATAGTTCTTAAACAATGAGGCTTATTAAAAGGGCTTTGTGTTGAAAACAGCAATTTCAGTAATATGAATACAGTGAAAATCTTGTTTTTTTTAATTCAATAAAATGTTTAAAAGTCACTGTAGACTGTCAATTTTAAAATTAATCCTATTGAACTCAATACAATTGATTTTAAAAAGTTATTGTTCTCTAAGCTCTGAGTAATCACTTTTTTCTCTGCACATTTTCTGCCAAGTTTTAAATGGATTAGTTTCTTCCTTTCTTTCTTTTTTTTTTTTAATATAGATTTTGGGAAAGCATCAAAAATCTACCCAGAACTTCAGGAAGCCAAAACTAGTTAGAATCAGAAGTCAGCACATCTGAAATGTCAACACTTTTCTTTTTTTTTCTGGATAATTTCCTGTGATTTGAAATCCTGATTTCTTGAGTAATGTTTAGTATTCCATTTTTTTTTCTTTTAAAGTGTTTGCTTTCAAGGAGAGTGTTGCTTTTGAGCCTTTCTTAACCAGTTAAATTCTCCAAGAGTCAAAAATATGTGAAAAAGCCAAGTTGTATGCTTATTTCTCCAGGGTCTCAGTCTCCTCCCAGAAATACATACTCTTGTACTGAACCTTCTGAAACTGTTGGTTTTTCTTTTTCATTTTTTTGCATACACAGGCTTATGTTTTCACACCAGTTCATAGATTGGGCGGAAGATGCCACTTCTATTTTAATAGAACAGAATGGCTCGTGGGTGTGTGGTGGGGGACTGTGTGTGACTCTTGTCTTCCTTATGTACGAAATCAGAGCGGTGTTGCCGCACTTCTCCTGGGGTAGGTAACAAATCACAAATATTTCACAACCTGACTTTTCCGTGGTTACTTTTCCAAAAGAAAACATTCTGGGGGTGGGCACAGTAGGGGAAGCAGGGAGGAGAATGAAATCTTCCACTTTAAAACCAACTCAGTTAAGATTATTTTTTGCTATAAAGAAGCAACGTGGTTCTGCCTACCTATAATTAGAAAACTCAGCTCTCTGAAATACTCACACTGCCTAAAACCTCCAACGAGAATTCTGATCTCAAGTACAGGGTGTGATTTTACCTGATGAACACTTTACTGAAGGCTGAGAGGCAACCTGGGGGAGAGGAGTGGGAACTCTTCAGGGAAGGCACGGCAGAGGGTGGGAGGAGCTCAGAAGGTCATCTGGACCCATTTCAGTCGAAGAAGAAATCTTGACCTTGAAGAGCTTGTGAATCTCAAGTCCCCACTCAGGGGAGGGAGGTTCTGAGTCCATTTTTTCATGGAGGGGACGGTGACATCGTGCTCTTTGGATCCGAAGCTCTCTAAACAAGATGGCGTTTAGCTGTAAAGTTAAATGAGGTGCTTTTTGGAGGGGCAGTGGGGGAGATAACTTGATGGGGTCTTTTGACAAAGTGTGACCTTCCCCCTGGCTTTTCCTTTCCTACTTTGGACAAAGGCATCAAACATTACGGCCTTTGGCTTTACTAGTTTCTCCTTCTGTTCTCAGGAGGAGTAAAGACACATAACAAAGGAATGTTTCTGTAGGTAAAAGAGAAATGAACTGACCCCATTTCCAGTGGTTGAGCTTCTCTCCAAATAGGTAGATGCCGATGGTAAAGATGTAGCTGAGAGAGAAGAAGGCTGCTAGACCCACTGGGTTGAGTTTGGCAAATATAGGATATACCCATGTACCCGTCTCAGAGTAGATCCATAGGACCCTGCAAAAAATGACAAATCACTGTGGTTAGGACAGCAGCGGGGAGAAAGCTGTAGCCCCTTCAAGGCCAAAGAGATCCTGGAATCCAGGCAGAGGAAAAGAAACCCCAGGGGACATTTTTTTTAAACAGATGAGTTGTTTTCTGAAGCTACAGAAGTGAGTATTTCCTGGATAACTAGACTGTTTCATTGAGACCTTCTGTTTTATATGCTGGGCTGGGCTCTTTCACGCAATCCATTAAAATTCAACGATTGTAAATGAATATGGGAAAACATTGTACATGTCATTAGCTAAACCAAATGTATAAGAACATGGATTAATTCTTCCCCTGAGAGATTCCACCTGCTGAGACATTGAACTTGCTAAGATGGTGCCCAATATGCTCACTTTCAGCCAGGCAAGCGGGGTTTGCTCTTCTGTACCTAAGAGTTAAATGTGGTTTTCCATTAGCTCCCCCAAGCCCGCTGGGGTAGGAGGGGCAGAGACCGAGCACCACTACTCTAACACAGTAGGCCTGGGGTTTCATTGTTGGCCTAGGTTTCAGCTCGGGGAAATAGCCACGTGTGGAGTATTAAGCAGGAATGGATGGATCTCCAGGAGGCCCAGATTTTGCTCTTGTGAGGACAGACTATAAGTCATTTCTGTCAGCCAAGAGAAGTAAAAGAAATGCTAGGAGAGGAGCCATGATGTCTAAGTGAAGCCTAAAAATGCAGTTTGCTGGAAACAAACGGCACCAGAAGATGCCAGAGTCTGAAATAACTCTTTAAATATGGGGAAGATGATATATCAGCTACAGTTTATAGTTGGTTGAGAGTACAGAATGTGGAACCAGGCTTCTGATTCAGATCCTAGTTCTGCTTCCTACTGGCTATGCTGCCTTCACTAACTTATTAAGCTTTCCTCTCCCCCTAAGCTCTGTATAAAGTGGGGGTGCTCAGAGCATACACCTTATAAGGCCATTGTAAAGATTACGGGTGTTAATTTTTTTTTAAGGGTGTTAATTTAACACATGCAAATTGCACACAACAGTGTCTGGCATATCGTAATCATTCTATAAGAGTTTAAAAGCTTCTCTTCTCCGAGGGCTGGCACAGTGGGCATTCCTCAGCAATTTCTTTATGGCTTTTCATCCCTTGTAAAACTTAGCACAGCCTAGGTTATGCTTCAGAAACAATGTTCAGATTTGGATATCCCAGGTTGTCATAGGAGTTCAGATGAAGGAATGAAAATTATGCACTTAATTCAACTTTTAGAATGCAAGCGTTCTTGGTTGTTTCAAATACTTTGTCAAATGCTTTGTTGGAAGAGAGAAGGGCTAATATCAGGGCCAGGACCAGGGTGAGGTGAGGGAGGTGAACCTAAGTTCACCACCTCCATGCATCAAAGGACACAACCAACAGAATATAAAGGAAACTTACAGAAAGGGGAAAATATTTACAAATCATGCATTTGATACAAGATTGTTATCCAGAATATCTAAATATATAAAGAATTCCTAGAACTCAACAGGAAATTTAAAAATCTAATAAAAAATGGAAAAAGGACTTGAATAGATCTTTCTATAAAGAGGATATACACATGGCCAACAAATACAGGAAAAGATACTCAGTGTCACTAATCATTAGGGAAACATGAATTAAAGCAGCAGTCAGATACTACCTTCATACTCATTAGACTATCTTCTATTAAAAAAAGAAAGAAAGAAAAAAACATCAAGTGCTGAAGAGAACGTGCAGAAATTGGAACCCCTGTGTTCTGTTGGTGGGAACGTAAAATGGTATAATTGCTATCAGTATGGCGGTTCCTCAAAAAATTAAACCTAGAATTACCATATGATCCAGCAATTCCACTTCTGGGCACAGACTCAAAAGAATTGAAAGCAAGGACTCAGAGAGATATCTGTACTCCTATGTTCATAGCAGCATTACTCACAATAATTAAAATATGGGAGCAACCCAAGTGTCCATTTAAGGATGAACAGATAAAATGTGGTACAGGTATACACACACAATGAAATATGCAACCCTTGCATGCGTGCGTGCTAAGTCGCTTCAGTCACGTCTGACTCTTTGCAACCCTATGGACCATAGCCCACCAGCTCCTCTGTCCATGGGATTCTCCAGGCAAGAATACTGGAGTGGGTTGCCATGCCCTCCTCCAGGGGATCTTCCCAACCTAGGGATCAAACCCACATCTCTTAAGTCTCCTGCATTGCAGGCAGATTCTTTACCTCTGAGCCACCAGGGAAGCCATATGTAACCATCAAAAGGAAGGAAATCCTGATATATGCTACAACATGAATGGAACTTGAGGATACTAGGTAAGATAAGCCAGTCACAAAGAGAGAAATACTGTATGATCCCACTTACATGACGCACTTAGGGTCATCAAACGCATGGAGACCAAGCCGAATGGGGCTGAGGGGAGGAGGGGATGGGGAGTTTCTGTGTGAGGAGTACAAAACTTCAGTTTGGGAAGAAAAGCATTCTGGAAAAGGATAGTGGTGATGGTTGCACAACGAGAATGTCTTTAATGCCACTAAACTGTGTACTTAAAATGGTAAATTTCTAAAAAAATTAAAAAAAAATGGTAAATTTCATGTTGTGTATGTCCCTCGTTCTGGTCCTGCTGGTGTCACTCTGCTGCCCTGGACTTCTTTAGATGCTGCTTTCATGTCCTCAAAAGCAGACTGGATTGAAAACAATGATAGTTATTAGCGTTATGACTAATGCTGGAACTCTGTGACACGTGTATCCCGTGGATGTATTATAGAAGGACACCCATGACACTTCTTTCCTGCCTGACTGTATTGCATGACAGGACAGAGAAGGGGACAGAAAGGAACATTTTAGGGACAGAAAGTAAATACCCTCAAGTACCTAGGGCCAGGTGTTTGGGGTCGGTGAGGAGCTCCAAATAGATTCCAAACGGGTTGCATTAATTAGTTTGCTTTGTTTACTTCCTAGAGTTGAAGTTAGGGCTTTCTAGTTTCCATGCACATTTATATAAGATAGTCGACAAGTAAGGACCTTCCCCTAGAGGCCTGGCAAGTTTCTGTTTATTAACTTTTTGTTTCCTCCAGAGTAAGGTTTGTAAAGGAAAGTTCCAGAGGGAAGGTAATGAAGTCTGTGCTTTCCCAGAGAAGGTGCAGAGAAAGTTATAAGTGTGATAACCGACGGCGGGAAAAGTAATGTAAATACAAATAGAGTGTCAGGGGAGATGGCAGTCAATTTAATGTAGGGCGGTCTGCAGAGAGGCTCGAGTGCGGAGATAGTCATGCCCAGGTGCTATTACCTCTTTATGGCTTGCCGGAATACATGTCAGAAGGGAAGAGAGAGCGGGAGGGGGAGAAGGGAGGACAGGGCGGAAGATGGGAGGCGTGGGGAGGGAGGGAAAGGCACTCAGCCTGTGTGCAGCTGAGTCGTCCGGTCCTCCCCGTCCGGTCCTCCCCGTCCGCATCAGCCCTCCCTGCTGGTGGTGGTGGTGATGGTTTAGTCGCTCAGTCTTGTCCGACTCTTGCGACTCCATGGGCTGTAGCCCGCCAGGCTCCTCTGTCCGTGGGACTTTCCAGGCAAGAATACTCCAGTGGGTTGCCATTTCCTTCTCCAGAGGATCTTCCCAACCCAGGAGTCGAACCCGGGTCTCCTGCACTGCAGGCAGAGTCTTTACCGACCGAGCTATGAGGGAAGCCCTAGGTCCTCCCTAGCTGCCAGTATGACCCCACAGAATCCTATTTAGGTATTTCTGCAGTGCACTCATTTCATGATTTCAATCCAGGATCCTCCGTTTCGTCCACTTTCCACGCCGCAGCAACTCAATAATGTCTCTTAAAAGAAAACTGTCTGTTCCCGGCGCTCCCCCTCCTCCCAGGGGATCCACGTTGCTTTAGGAAAAGGCCCCGCTCCTCCCCCAGCCTATCTGGCCCTTCCCTGCCCACCCGTCCACCCATCCCTGCTCAGATCCACAGCCCCACCGTTACGGGCTGAATGAACCAAGCTCCGCAGCTTCCGCACCCTGCTCTTGTCTCTGGAGCACCTCTGAGCTTCACCCTTCCTAGGACGTACTTCTTACTCTGTCCCTAGCTGAATCTTCCTCATGTTTGCATTTTAGCTTAAAAGTTCATTTCTCCAGAAAAAGTTTCCTGCCCATTCTTCTCACAGTTCCCACAACCCCCATCCGATTAGGTTGTCATGCCATGGGCTTCCCCAACCATGAATTTATCCTGGTCGCATATTTGCCTGTCTTTCTTGAGGGCTTCTGGGAGCTCTGTGAGGACGGGGATTTTGTCTGATATGTGTAGCTGTTTCCCAAGTTCCTTATTTTTAGATAAATGGCTGTTGAGGTGGCCCCACGAGCACCAGCGTCTCCTTTAACTGCGGTTCACGGTGGCTTCTACAGGCAGGCCTTGGCTGCTGCTGCGTCAGGAGCACCGCAGAGGTGTAAACGGTGGCCTTCCAAGTAGCAGTTGATTGGTTGCTCACTTTATTAATACTTTGAAGAGGCCAATGCTTCTGACCCTCAGTTCAGCAATGAATATTGTATGTGGAGCTGTCTGCCGCGTGAATCTATGTGAGTCAGGCTAGGAGGGCATAAACTGGTAGCCAAACATTAATCTTTTTATAATCTCCTCATCCTAAATCTTGTAGCATCAAATGATTATCATGAAATTTGTATTTTCTGTGTCTTATCAATAGTGGAAGTCTGTTGGGTTATAGGTTAGCAGATAACTAGGGGTTTGGTCGGCTTCAGGCATATAATTCTTAACGTTTTAATTCTCATGTCATATCTTTTGAGACCAGCAGAATAAACAGAATAAAAGTATCCTCTGGCTCCATGTTTTCATAAATAACCCCGTGAGAGGGTCACAGTTACATCTGATGCCAGGAAGCAAGCACAGTCGACATTTACATTTTGCGAATAAATTCAACAAGTTTGCAGAAGACTTCCTGCACCGAAAATGCCCCTGAGAACTTATTACCTGGTGATTCCTTAGCGTGGGGG